AGTTGTATAATAACAGTTCATAGGGTAAAATAAAGCTGTTGATAATAGAGAGACATGAGAATGAATAGTTTAATGAATTAACAGTTAAACGATTAAAATATACACATAGTATTTGTCCATAAATTGATCACATAGTTACTAGTCACTATGTATATCGAGATCTAACAGTGTTACATTGCGATACCATAGGTCCTGTGTTCGAATCTAGAATTCAGTACCGTGGAGGAGTATTGTTGAGGAATACTATACTGCAACGGATCAACCGTTCAGTGTTTCCAGGTTTTCAATGCCTGGTCATTGATCAGTTCAAGATTTCAATTAAACGTAACCATTTTCATAACTTTATGCTGATAATTCACTTTTTTTTTTATGAATTAATGTGCCATCATAAGTATTGTGAACTTTTTCAAAGTGTTTTTCTTCAAAGGAATTTTTTATCGATGAGTTTGAAAATCTACTGTATATATTAGTCTGAACTTAAGGATTGCCCATAACATGGTTGAATGGAGAATGCTGGCAATTAGCCTAAGCTCCTTCACGAGGAGCAATAGGCATAAGTAAGTAAATAACTTACTACTGAAGCATAAAATGATTATAGCATTATATACTGTTCACTAGTAAGCATTTAATCAGTAAAATAATGATATAAATAATATTTTCACTTTGATCATTCTATTATATTTCATACAAGAATATAGGAAGCGATTTTCCACAGCTTTAACTCTAAGCTATTCTTCTGTAGACTGTCGAACACAGAGTCTTGGTTTAGCGAAATTCAAATCAAGTAAGGTATAGGGCTTGATAAACTTTATCTGTTGCTAAAGCATAAATTATCACCATTAATGTATAAAATAAACGATACAGTCTAATAACATAGGGCAAAACAGAGACATAAATAACGTGCCGAACAGTAACTAGAAGATGGGAAAAATGTGTTAACAAGGCAAATATTGTGTTATAATGAATATCAAATTGTGATTTGTAAATAAACAAGACACCGTTATACGACATCAAAGAAGGTTAATGTGGTGATGAACGTTTCTTTTTATTGTTGGTGAGTTCATTTGTCGATCACATCCTGAAAATTCCCATTTGAACGGATACATGATGTGTACACATATACATGTTTATATATATATATATATATTACTTCCATAGTTGAAGTCATGTGTCAATTGAAGCTAGACCACCACGGAAATCCCGAAAGCACTGAATGGCCGTTTCGTCATAGTACGGGATTACTCAGCAGTGCGCATCCACGAATCCGGGCCCCACGGGATTCGAACACAGTACCTATCACTCCTTTTGACATGAATTGTCGGTCGAATAATAGTGGGAATACTGAATGGAATACAATGAATTTAATTTCTTCATTAAACATCTATTGTGTGTTCTCTCTATTGATATTCTTCTACAACTGAAAATAAGATTAGGCTTATTTCTTCTTATATGAATGTTGCCATTCATGAATGAATAAAACTTCATCAAGTACAGAATGAGATCATATTACATTGTTTGTATGGAAATAGCAATGATCTGCTTGAGTTGAAGGATTGATGAAGGAATGATAATGGTGATGATGATGATTCGTTAAAAAGGTAGCAGATTAAGGCTTATTGGACAGTATCAAAATCTCATAGATCTTTGTTACTACTAACCTAGAAATGACGGTTAGTAGGATTTCACTTTTTAACAGCATTTAACGGGTTGACAATACCGATATCATGATTGAAGAGAATATGAAACTGACTGACAACTGAAACATAAATATTGAATGGATATTCATCAATAAAATTTGCAACCGATGCAAAAGTGATTCAATATTCAAACATTCATAGTTCTATTCTGAAATGAAGGTAACGTGAGAGTATGGAGAAGAACCAGACAATAGAACATTGAGTCACATCTCATTACATTTGCCATTTCGTGTATGTGTATGGATACATGGAACTATGAAAGTGTATTTTACCAATACACTCACAAGTGATGGAAGATATGCTTAGACGGTTTTGTTGTAATCAGTTGTTTTCGAATATCCCAATCAAAGCCGAGAGCAGAAAACTATGATGAACATAAACATAACTCTAAACGTCTTGAAGGGGAATTTTCCAAATCACATGCTCAGGTTTCTGGAAACATCACTCGACGCAAAACTCAAAGTTTTATGATGTAAGTAAAATAAGTTGATCACTTTGAATGCATTTTACAGCCCAGGGTGATGGGGTCACTTCTTATGATTTACATAATACAATACTTTTTATCAGTATGAGTTTTCGCAGAGATCGTAGAATTTTCATAGTTTTCATTTGTGGACTGAGCTCAAGGCATCACTAAAAACACGGAAGTATTGGACATCCATCCTTTATTTCTAATGATCACTTTGCTTTCAAATTGACCATCATTAGTCCTCTATAATGATGTCTAGACAATGATATGTGTGACTTCATTTCTTGAAATGTATAACACTATTGCATCGCATTTTGTTTTCAGATCAACTCCGTATTCTCACTATACAAAGGAAACTTATGTCAAATATTCATTATTATCATTACTTACTCCAACAAAGGATCAATGAACAGCATTGTCGAATTACTGTGAAGTGGAAATGGATATAGTCAAGAAATATTCCTTTGTCAATCATATTTATATCATGGCCCTCCCATGTATATGACTTAATGGAGTAATTAATCCTTCGCAAGTTTATGTGCTTCCGCAGATGTCTTGAAATGACTTCTGACTATGTGTTGATAGATGGAATGAGTGTTCATTAATTTATTGGTGAGAATTCGATCTTACTGTCATAATATTCAACATTTCCCAGTATTTTTAGAGCTCACGTGATTCAGAACACTGGCATTCCTCCAAGTTATATTAGTTTTTTAGTTACCTGTACAGATTGAAGTCACAGAGACAACATATGATGCCGGTTGATTTACTTAAAAATGATCCTTTCATGATCGTATTGGAAAGATGTTTTCGGACTGTTAATGTAGATGGATGAAATGCACAGTCATTTGATAATATAGATTGATAGAATATAGTCAAATTAATACTGTTAGACAGGTCAAATGATTGATCGATATTAATTTTGAAATGATGGACTGATATCAGAAGACAAGATACGTATCAACATAATAGGTTTCCTCTCTTCAAAAAATCATGCACTTTTATAGAAAACAAGAATAAACATGATTAGTAGTTCATCAACATATAAATGATTGATTGATTAGATGTCTCTATATGCCAGTTACTCTCCAGTGAACTGAATGACTAACGATCAGAATCAATTCTTGCTGTATCTGATCACAAGCCTTCTACAAACTGAAGTATGATTCATCTGTAATAATAACATTCATAAAATGGGAATGCTTGATCAAGCTCTTTATGTTAGCAGACTGTTCAATAAAATAGATAAGATCATTATCATTGTCTAAAGCTTGCTAATCTACTCACTACTTTTGACGATTTATTGACAACACAAGTCAAAACAACAAGACTTGTCCGACACAGATTCAGACCTGCTTCTAATTACTATGATTTGGCCTCTTTTGCTTTCAATAAAATAAACTAGAATGTTCATGAATAGATCAAACATCTTACCACGTATTGGTTATGCTCCTCACTTGATGCAAGATGGATAAATATACAATCAAGCTTATCTTTAATTACCTAATGCAACAACAGTTTATGAACAATGTTTCTTAACGTTTTAAACTCATAACCCGAATAAAATAATTTCCAACAGCATAGTAAAAAACTGGTACCTTAGGCCCCAGTAGCGTTCACTGAAGATTTACCTAAAATATTGAATGAATTAGGAATTAAAATTTTACGATCAACTTGTTAGCGATCCAATGAAATACGATCACTTGTTGAATGGAATCAAGCTTACTCAAAATCAATATTTGTTTGCTATTTATAAAATCATTTTCCTCTAATTATTCAATACTGATCGATCAAACATGATATTGATCAAATATGATATACATCATGAAACACAATAGGCAATATTTTAGTTCAACGCAAGGTCATTGATCGTCTGAATAGTTCAGTGGTGACATCTTAGACTGTGAAGTGATATGATACGAATCCGAATCCATTAGGCAGAATCAATTCCATTTCTTCTGGTAAGTGTAGAATATCAGTATAACAGCGTTCAGGGTTTCCTGTTAGTCATGATATTATCCAGAATACTATCCAAAGTAATGGGCTGCGAAAATGGTCATTTTTGTTATCGATAGTTCTTGAAGGATATGATAGGGAAAAGAAATGAACAAAATACTTCTGTATACATACACGTTGTAGGAAAATTCCAAAGATCATTTCTCCAGCTTTATATGGTTATCGGTGATGCACACACCGTGAAAGCTTTATTGGCATTCAATATACGGACTATATATTTAGGCTGCCATCGATTTTCATTCAATTTTTAATTGAATGGATCACCCCATAGTTTTTATTTGGACTGGACTTTGATCAGATTTAGTTCGTATATGCAAATCCTATTCAAATTATCTAGGTATATTCATTGTCACAAGTTTTTATAGAATAGTTGTGGTGTGTTTATTAGTGGAATCCAGGAAGTTGGTTTCATCCTATTTGGAACTCATTAGCTAGATGTACTTGTATCCAAACAGTGAATGTCCAGTTCGAAAAACACTAGATGCCACTATTGAGACAATAAATTTTCTTTGTCTACTTCTAGTTGTAATTAAGGCGGCTGATGTTGTCTTGGTTTGGGTTCACGTGCATTAGGTGCATACACTTTCTGTCTTCCCTCAAACTATGAGATTGAAGTCGCTTCAAATCTTTCTACCAACTAATTCTTTCTTCCTGTACATTATCTTTATATACAATCTTTCTTTAATATATTACGACCATTGGAGTAACTACTTCTATGAATTCGGTGTTCATCTTGTTGTGCTTAAGAGGTATGGCAACTTCGATTGATGCATAAATATGCGTGGTTCTACATTGTGAATGATTATAAGAGGCGAACGTCTATTTAACAGAACATCTATTATAAATAACAAAGCCATTTACAATAATCTTCAAACATATAACAACATTCAATGGAATAGCATCTATTCATAATGTCCAATCATTGTGTTATTCATTGTCTTATTGCACGGATGACAATCGATGAATGAATTTAAACAAAACTGTGAAACGACAATTAGGGCGATGTATTCATAAGACCATAAGAAAAGAATGTACATAACATGCGACCGTTCTTCTTCACTGGATCTATCCAAATAATATGCTGCGTCTACAATCACCTGTAATAATCAAAACATAGATGATTAATTCATTAGTATCAGAAGGGAGTTTTGTGGATATTATAGTAGTATTATAATAGTTCGCACGCGAGATCGATAGGTTTTGTGTTCGAATATCGCGAGCTGGGATTGTGGATGCGCACTGTCACTGAGGAGTCCCACAATACGACGGAACGGTCTTCCAGTCATCCCATGTTTTCCATGGTGGTCTAGTTCCAATTGATTATTTCACTATTGATGTGTTCATATCAACAAATTTATCCGTGAAATAATAGGCATTTATAGATATAGGGTTGACAACTTTGCAATTTCTAAACATTAATACATAGCAAATGAACAGTAAGTGTCTTGTATTTTGATCTGTCAATTATTGAGCCATTCAACTAAAGAAACGAACTAAGCGATAAATACTTCACCACTCAATGTCTCGCTTTCAGCCATCCTTCAAAGTGCTTCATGATGAATTCTTGTTGGATGCTCTGGATAGAAAACACTAATGCTTCAAAGTTCTAAGCTCTACAAAACCACATCTTTGAATGCATAATAATCAATGGACGGTTGTTTGTATTTACATTTTATTATTTATTCAGAACTTACAATCAACATTGCACAGCACCAACAAATCCAGGATACACCTAGTACAATATACTGGAATAAAGGAAAGAAAACAATTCACTTCAATTCATCATGTATCTATATCAATATCAGTGAAGAAACAGTATTACTCTACTAATTAACTCTACCGATTTTAAACTAACATGTAGCTCACTGACTGACTGACTTAATGTAAGAGTTCAGTCAGTCAGTGATCCTGAATTTCGAAATCATTTACCCATCCTGTCTCATACTTGACGTTTGGCCAAACAACGAATTAGTTTGTTTAATTACTGTATCGTGAAACATTCATGTTAGTGACTCTAAGAACATGAAATCACTGGTGAAGGAACCACTATGGAGAGCAACTGGAAGAGGATCAAAGAGACAATCACTTCAACAAATAATGAGTTCCTTGGCCACAAGGAATGGATCTTTGCAGATACACTGAATAAGATTCAAAAAAGGTGGAACAAGAAGGCAGCAATCCATAACAGCTGAACAAAAGCAGAGGAAGCCAAGGAGCAAGCTGAATACACATCAATAAACAAGCAAGTGAAGAGGAGTATGAGAACCGACAAACGTAAATATGTGGAAGACTTAGCAATGACAGCGAAAAAGACTGCAAGAAAAGAAAACATGAAACACTCGTATGGTACAACAAAGAAACTCGTTGAAAATAATCGTGAACCAGAAAGACTAGTGGACAGGAATAAAAGCAACGTAATCACCGACATCAAAGAATAGCGAAACAGTTTGGTAGAATATTTGAAATAACTCTTGAATCTATCAGCTCCACTGAACCCACCAAACATCGAATCAGCACCCACGGACCTCTCAATGGATGTTGGCCCACCAACAATTGAAGAAATCAGCATGGCCATTAGACAAATCAACAGTGTCAAAGCAGCAGGACCAGACAACATTACGGTAGAGGCACAGAAAGATGATGTAGTAGTAACTGCAAAGACACTTCACATTCTCTTCAGCAAAGTTTCAGATGAAGAACAAGTACCAAAAAACTGAAAAGAAGGGATTCTAATCAAAATACCAAAGAAAGGCGATGTCAACAGAATGATGTACTGCGTAGACGCCCAAATTCGAGATCAACAGGCAGGATTCCGTAAGGGTCGATCGTGTACAAACCATATCGCAACTCTACGGATCATTATGGAACTATCAACTGAACGAGATTCATCACCCTATATCATTTATATTGACTATGAGAAAGTGTTTGATAGCGTGTACAGAACAAAACTATGGAAGCTACTTCAACAATACAGCGCGCCTGAGAAAATAGCCAATATCAAACAGAATTCCTTTGATGGATTTAACTGTAAAATCGTGCCTGGCGGACACTTGACAGAGTCGTCCGAAGTGAAGAACAGTTTCAGGCAATGTTGCTTACTCTCAACCTTTCTCTTTCTCGGGTGATCGAACAGACCATGAAGACGTCAACATCCAGGGTGAAGAAGGGGATCAACTAGCTAGCTAGGATGCACCTGGACGATTTAGACATCGCAGATGATCTGGCACTTCTGCTACACATGCAACAACAAATGCAGGAGAAAGAGACCACTGAAGCCGCAGCCTCAACATCAGTAGGTCTCAAAATACAGAGAGGGAAAAGCAACATTCTCCCATACAATACAGGATGCACTAATCCATTCACGTTTGACGGAGAAGATTTGGAAGATGTGAAAACCTTGACATATCTGGGCATTATCATTGATGAACACGGAGAATCTGATGTAAAGGCGAGGATCGGCAAAACAAGAGCAGCATATTTACAAATGAAGTACATCTGAAACTAAGAACAACTCTCTGTCAAACAACACCAAACTCAGAATTTTTAATAGAAATGTCATCACAGTTCTACTGTGCGGTATTGAAACTTGAAGAACTACGAAAGCCAGAGGATTCAGGTGTTTATTAACAGTTGTCTAAGCAAAATACTTCGGATCCATTGGTCAGACACGACACTATCAGCAGCAACCTAATGTGGGAAAGAACAAGTGAACTTTTAGCGGAGGAGGAAATCATGAAGAAGCACTGGAAGTGGATACGACACACATTGAGGAAAGCATCCAACTGCGTCGCAATGCAAGCCCTAATCTGGAATCGTCAAGGCCAAAGAAGAAGAGGAAGAACAAAGAACAAATTACTCTGAGAAATTGGGGTAGACATGCGAGGTATGAACAAAAATTGGATCGAACTAGAAAGGAAGGCCCAGGACAGAGTGGGTTGGATAATGCTGGCAGGCGGCCCATGCTCCACTGGGAGTAACAGCCGTAAGTGGATAGGTAAGTAAGTAACTTTATGAAAGTATCATTTTTGGTAAAAAAAAAACACTACGGCAGCGAAATAATGCGAACGAACGTTCAAAGTAGTTGAACATGTATAAGAAAACAAAGATTTGTTTGAAATATTCCTCAATCAAATATAAATTGAAAATGTATTTCTATTTCGGTGTAGGGAAATGTTGTGTCCCGAAAAGAATAATGAGTGGTAACTTTTTGATCCGGTTTTGGACCAATACTATGTGTATATTTTTGTCTTATTGTTAGTTAAGCAAAATATTCACATTCATATCTCTCTTATCATTAGCTTTATTTTGACCTATGAACTGTTATTATACAAATTACCATTCTTGAGTTATTTTCTGTCTGTTAATCACTTCCTCCCGCATTCACAGACATATTTAGCCAGATCTTGTAAAAATGTTCTTTTCTGCTTTATGCTACGTTGTGTTCTACTTGACTATCATATGAACAGTGTATATTTGAAATACATGATTCATATTGCAGAAGATGAGATTGATGTTCTGGACCTAACTGACCGGGCTAAGCGGAAAGCAGGGCTTATCAGGACTGTAGGCTGCAAGCACGTGTCTTATGCGTACTTGATCCGATCGATAATTCGCTGCTTCTGATTGGCGGCTTCAGGCTATAACAGAAACGTTTCACCGGTATTCACATTCAGCGAATATAGTTGGGAAAACTGTAGCTATTCGAGTAAACCATTAACGAATCAATAATAATCACTAATTACTACTAGTTTGTGCATATCTATGATTAGACAATCTGACATTGGAAAGTGCCGCCCCTATAATCAATAATATGATTCCGATTCCCCCAAACACACACCATATCGAGAACAAGATTATCTCCAATTTTCTTTCTTCAACTTGTAGCTTTACACCCAATAAAATCGCTAAGCTGGCCAACGTGGTATCCACTGTTACAGAAATAATTATTTCATACCATTGTGTTCGTGAATTTAGTAATCCAACACCAATAATCATAATTATCAACTGAATAGGGAAAAAGTAGTATCATCAAATTGATTACCATTAGTTTAAAAGTTGAATCGGTCAACTATTAGACAAATAATGAAAGAGTAATCTCCACTCTCCTGCATTTGATTGAAATGCTTAACAATGAATAGTTATGGATACAAGCACATAACAAGGAATCTCTATCCATGTCTATCATAATGACAAACTTGAAATATCTTCAAAGCTAATTCGCTCATCCATTACACATGGCCATTTTATATCAGGTTTCTCACCTAAACGGTGTGTAATATACCAATTTGGCTAAACCAAGAACTACGGCAGCTAGTAATGTGTCTGCAACTTGAAGCACTAAATGATGACTTGTGTCTCATAGAACACAAGTTCAGTGACAGACAAAGTGTGTGTGGATGATTATACCAGTGAAAATGTTACAAATTCAATTTGTTTAGTTGTTCTGTGTTCACAACTCATTCCACATCTCTCAAATGGTTATCACAACAAACGTCGATGAGAGTAGAATGTACCGATATTATATGTAACCATGTCTACTCATTTCTCAATTGTCCATAACACTAACAGACAGATACCTTTTAATGTGATGTTATTTTTGCCAGTTAGCAGTCAAGTAATAGCTCATGATCCGACCGGATCATCAATATACATCAACATTGTTATGAAATCAGTGAAACTATAGAAACTCGGTCTCTACACATGGTGTCATCTTAAAATAAAATACAACGATCAAACTCATCTATTCAAGTCAACCTTCAAAGATCATTTGATCCTGATAACCGTTATCAAACGAACATCACAACATTGTTTTATTATTCAACAAACAACACTAAACTACATCAAATCTATGATTTGATGAAACTATCATGAATGTACTATTCAAACCATATTCAACTGACCGTTATAACCATGAAGACAGTGTTCATTATGGATGTGGAATGTAGTTTCTTAATCAATATGATTGCTAATCCAATAAATAAACCTATAAATCTGAAATATAAAGGAAAATATGTGTACAACATACGAAGCTCACAGATACAACAGAGCATAGTAATATGCATCAAATGTTCTACACAATATGTATGCATAAAATAGTTGAATAAGTCCCCCACCTACTACTCAGTTCAACATTTTCAAAAGTTTGTCAAACTTGTAAAGTGGAATACCTATGGAATGATTGCTTGAATATTTCATTTCATCACACAAATACCCTGGTACGACAGATTTTGGAGAGGATTAGCTCTCCCTCACGAAACGCTCTCATATGGACACCCATATACAGTCACTAACACGGAAGAAATATTCATTCCTTTTTTGTGGCGAAGGTGCTGTTTAAGAAATTGAGAGTATATAAGGTGAATATTTGGCTATTTGACGGGTTAGTGCATATGGTGAATCCATTTGAGCAAGTTGGAAAACCGTGATTTACATGGGCTCCACAAACCTAAGGAAAAGAAATGGAATATTAACCAGCTGCCATTGGATTACATCTGCTGACGTTGCTTTGTGACTCCGAGTGTGGCCCTCTAACAAAACCACCAGCTTTGCTCTGGTCACCCGGACAATATCACAGCCTACACACAAATCAACTGATTTGTGTGGCATATACGTAGTCTTTGACTATTTGTACTAATCAGTTCATTAAATAATACGTAATAGTATTACATGGAAAATTGTTGTTATGATTTTCGCTTAATACCTGCATTAAAAACATATTACTTACGTTAATATGACACCACTGAGAACAAGTAGTTCTGTATAATGATCAAAGCTGAATATGTCAAATGGAATGATAAATCTCTTACGTGCAATTAGAATTATTCTGACAATTTATCTCTGAAACACTATCCAATGTCAATTTCATCATCGTTTTACTATCTGTAATGGAGATTTGTCAACAATTCACCTTCCTCAACCGCTAATTCTAAACTCAACTGAAATCAGAAAGAATTCACAATAATACAGTAATGGAGATAAACAATTTCATGGATAACATAAAACCTTAAATATTCATTCACATGATTATTTTTTTCCTCATTCATCAATGTTTTACAACAAGTTCGGATTCATGGAGAGAATTTGAATTCCATTTGAATAGTTTGCTGTATCATCTTCACGAGATTAATAACAAACATTGAAAGCCGACGAAAATTGATCTCATCTGATTCATTGTAGCTGCTCACTGCATAAGGTGGGGTGACTTGTAGTCATTAACGTTATCCCACTCAATCCAGAGAAATAGATCATTAACAATGACTAATGCATTCATCTAAATAAATGATTCTCAATAGAAGTATGTTGTCACTTACATTAAGCTACCTCTTTTACTATGATATAGTTTTGGTTAAAAAGTCAACGTCATACAATCGAAGCTTGATCACCCTACCATCTTCTATGGAAAACACTTTGTTGAATAGACTGATGATCCTGATGTGTATATTACGAATGAAATGAAACGAATGAGTTTTTGCCTTTCAATTAACGACGGTCTGTTGTTAATAGTCTCCTACGTAATCCTTCCAAATATCAAATTGCTAAGTTTAGCTTGAAACACAAACTGCACTCAAAAAGCTTATTGTAATATCATGAAGTTTGTACTATTAGAGATTCCGTATTGAAAACAATGTGGAAGGCTACTTGTTGCGGAATAATAATTTGCTCGTATCTCTTCCTCTCTCTCCGTCTTCTCATGTGGTTTTGATATGAAAGAAGGCTTTGCGTTCGACCGATTATATAGTGAGGTTACGTGCTTTGCACATTGTTCGACATTTATATTGACGATTTCTCGACTCGTGTTATAATCTATTATTCATCAGTGTTCTCGATTATTCGCGATATTTGATTTTTAGGAAAGATTTTGCCATATTGTGGAGATTGCTTAAGGCAGTGAGTAGTATGTGTGATGAATCTTTTAAGATCATTACAAACATGGTTGTGGATAGACATTGAAAATCTTGCAAACTGCTGACAAGTGATGTTGTACCAAATATTTACCATATATTTCATCTTGTACATCTTGTAGTAGGACAAGGTACCAATACATGAGAATCTATGAGAACCTCTCTCGTGTTTGTAAAGAAATTAGTTGGAATCATTTGTGCTGAGAGTTATATTTTGTGCTGATAACATATTTTGATTTGGCCGTCTCTAGCTTTATTCCAGCCATCCTAAACACTAGTTAGCATTGCGCGTCGTGGTAATCTGTGTTCGGGAATATTTGGCTCAACCATCTCAGTCGCTGAAGATTCACAACCACATCAATTGATTTAACATCGTGACCTCATACTATGCGTCTCACATCACTTCTATTTATCTAGTGATACCAGCAGATGTGGAAAATGTTTTTAAGGGACCTGTGATCAATTACTAGTAGCTCACGGGTATCTTTTACTCCTACTGACCGTTAAGTAGAACAGAAAGAACTGCTGAGCAGTATACTCGTCATTTTATTGGTAGACGGATATCTCGCCTTCGCCATAGGTGATGTAATTTGACAAAAGGCAAACAAGATGTTCGAACACGTGCTGAGCTTTTGTCAGACAACAACGCATTAGGGTTGATCGGATTTCCAAGATAAGTGGAGTTGTCGACGCGTTCAACTTCACTCCCTATCCTTAGTTAAAGTGTTGACACAGGCCAGCCGTCGAACAGAAACTCGCAATCAGAGGGAGAAAACCGCATCACAAACATTCTGGCATTGTTGCTTAGTGACACCAAATGACTGCATTTTATCAGCGTCTTCATCAAACAGAACTGTGTCATCTGTGTATTCTAAGTCGATAAGTGGACCTTCTGGTAGGAGATCAATGCTACAGATAATACAACCGTTCAACAAATCTAAACTCATACACTTTGATAGAAATTGATAAACTTACATGGAATTATTCGAATGTTCAGTATTAATAACGATTCAGTAAAATTACACAAATTTATGGCGAAATTCATCAATCGCTTCAATGAACTTTGGTTAAGCGAACATTCTAAAAAACAACAGAATAAGTGATTTGGTTACAAATTGATATGATGGAATCAAAAGTCAATTTACGATTTGATTTACTCATTATGAGTTTTTGTTCAAAATTACTTCAGTTTTGATTCAATGTTATAACTACTCAATGTAGGATTTCTTTTCTTTTCTTGGATGATATTTTATTCTGTATAATATGCGACATGAAATTTGCTCAGTATGTGATTTCATCTTAATTAATGATCAAAATGAGTGTACAATCAGTAAATAAATGAGTATCTTTTCTAATAGAGTTGTCTTCGTCGTCGTGACTGTGTTTTTGAGTAAATAAATAATCACTAAAACCAATCTGTGTGTTCCTACATTCACGTCGTGCGATGTGCGGAGTTTATGGTGACATATATTCAGTGATTTTTGTAACAACAAAAATAAAAACCACATTTTTTCTCTAATTTGTCACACTTTATTTGTAACTACATTTTTATTCAATATCTGTTGTTTTGCTGTATCACTTGTTAAAAAAGATGATGATAATTGTTTTCGATGAATGATATACACTTCTTCTACCGGGTTGTTTAAAATATAGAACAATACTTACGCCGTTTGTTCTTCTGTTTTATTGGCCACCGTTTTGATTGAAGACTATAATAGTATTATAACATCATTATAGGCCTTCCGACTCAACGTTGGACTTTTGGCACGGATTACTATTGTATAATACTATTGGACTCCGTCTTCCTCATTACGTCTTTGGTGCAGTCACTTGCAGAGGAACACCTGTCAATCAAGTGAACTCAGTTTGTGGTCGTTGTCCTCACGAAGCAGCTAACAAGTAACATTCATTCTATAGTAACTGTTAGCGTCTGTTTTGTTTAATATACCTTTTGTATTGCTAACGGTATTTTATTACCTTTGTTTTTACTAACGGACAGACATCTAGGTTTCTTAATCAATAATTTGTTTTGGTATATCATTGTTAACCTAGTGTATCAATATAATTTGTGTAAGCTCCTTTTGTTTGGGGACCACCACAAGTTCCCTCGTTCCGAGTATAAGTGATCAGCGTATTTCCGACATAACAACTAGCGAAGAGCAGATACAGAAGTTAGCATTAAAAAGCCAAGACAATAAGCTTTCAAACCACAAATTATAACAGAAATAGAACAAACTGCATTTAGCTGTTGGTTTATTGAGAACAAGTAAGTGATTGCATTTTAGTTTCTTTGATCAAGATCGACACATTTTGTACACTATGAATATATATATATATATATATATATATATATATATATAATGTGAATGTTACAGTAATTCGTTGTGGAAACCTTAACCTAGATTTCATGTCAGTACGCCGTCGTCAGCAAGATGTAAGTGTAATCTTGAGGAAAGTGATGCCTTCGATTACGTGTCTACCAGCCTCACAATTGGAGACGTTGTCACTGAACTACTCGCTCGCTCTCGTCCTCTCTACGTATATAGGCTGAACAATTGTATACAGGAATGCTGTATGTCAACAATTCGAACTTTTCTACTTCTTGGATTTTGCCTTATTTGATTGGTTATGCGCTTGTTTACTCATAAAAACAGGTTAACAATCAGCTTGCACTTAACCTACTGGTTAAAAGCTAAGAGATGTCACTTAGTTAAACTGATAGGTTATTTTCCACCATTTTCGTGTCATGTTTGTTAAGTATCATTTGTGTTTATCTCATGAAGCTATCACTCGAATTGATGTACGCCTTGGAAATTTCACCTAATCCCTTATGAATACTTCAATTAAACTGATAGACTTCATGTCACACAAATAATTAATATGCTTTGAACAATCAGTACTTTAAGAGAAGCCCGATCATCTGATATGGATACATCATGACTAAATCTAGTTGAATACTCCATAGATCTTAACAAGCTGTAGTGAAATGTGGTACGACGACAACGATTTACCCATTAACACTCGCAAACAATCCAACTTATAAACAAACGTTACTAATCATGAATAGATCAACAGTTCACTTAGTGTAGAGCTGACTACGGTAAACCGAACACAACAGAATCATGTAGGTCAAATTCACATATTTCATGTTGATAATGAAACAGCCTTCGTAAACAATAATTAGTCCTGGAAGTCTGTTACCCTTCTCTCATCACTGTTGATAGTTCACTGAACACAAATATCATTATCAATATTATGTGACTGTTATTGATGATTGTTATTGTTCAAAGTTGTAAGACATACAAAATGTGCATTCATTCAGTGTGCAGATCGAACTGTTTATATCAATGTCAATATCTTCCACAATACGATCTTTTCATATTATTCAATCTTCATATTTGAACTCAATTTATTCTACACACTTTCATTGTCGAGTATTATGTAAAGTTGTTTCGTTCCAATGAATAATAATAACAGTAAAGCAGATTATAGTCAATCAATCCATGAAATTGATGTTCATTTGCTGTGATATTAATTCTTTATTCAATAAAGTATTTACAGTAAATTCACTTGATATTGTTTACTTGAATCTTCCCACTGATGTTTAGGACTGCGATCGTTCAATCTCTCATTGACATATGTGCAAACTGTCAGTATTGCCTTGATGTTATGTTCAGTAACAAGCATCACAATAAGTAAACATGGATGGTGGCTAACATTGGATTTTGGTTGTTTACACTTGTGTGTTGTCATCCACTACATAACTAATGGGAAATGTATATTATCGTGAAAGTAACAAGATGTATGGTAGAACAGTTACTCTTTCAAGCTTTCAACTTTGTTGACCAGAAGTAACGAAATACTTGTTCCTTGAGATCCATGTCTATGTAAGCAGTTGCACTGCATTCTTGATAATAGATAGATAGATAGATAACATGATTGTTGTGTTCCTTCTAAATGTGGAGGGCGAGAACATTAGCTAGTAATGGGAGAGTTCGTAGTATAGTAAACTCTGGAATCACCTTCCCCATCACCTACAAATTCAAAGTAAACATCGAGAATTCCTTCGAATAATTGGCCGTATAGTTTTTTCATTGTGTATTTAAATAATAACTGATGGGAAAATCTTTTGTCATGTTAAAAGAAAGCATTATTGTGTAAGTCCAATAAGGAATTTGTAAATATCGCAAGGTTTTATGGTTTTTCCGTATCTGATTTTCGTATACTGAGTTATACTACTTAAAACTCTGAAGTAGTTTGACTGCTTAAAATAATCTATAGTGTCATTGAATAAAGAAAACAGAATCCAGCGATGAAAATTTTCTTTTCGACGAAATCACTTACTTAAGCTGTACATTCGTATATATAGGTATATAGAAAATGTATCTCTATAGAAGAATAGAAAGGATTGCATCGCCAAAATGGATTCGAGACTAAATAACAAATGAGGTTACATACTAATCAAGGGGTAGGGAAGAACAGAATTTATGGATCAGATAATCGTCTCATTGATAGATATGAAGAAAAGCGACAAACAACAATGGTCATAATAATAAGCTGATCGATAATCCAGAAAACTTGTGTAAGGTAATAATAATAACTGATTGGCGTTAATAATGCAAAATAGTAATTTTGGAAAAAAAATATCGAGAATAATTAAATGAAAGTGCAGAAAAACAGCAAAAACAAACAAAAATAACACACGAAAACAGAAACGTACCCGTTAAGGGAATTAAGGCCAAGGAAGGATGAGAGGTTGGACAAATGGTTTCTGCACGCAAAGTTCAAACTTGAGTTTGTGGATTGTGAATGCCCCTGCGGTGCACAAAATATTGATTCGAACCCCTTTCGATTCACTTCCTTTGACTTTGTAAACTATCTTAAACAAAGAGTCTTTTGAAGCGATGTGTCTACAGTTAATTAAGTGCTCTTGCATCGAACTAATGATTGTTTTACGTTCAACTTTTAAGAGTCAGGTCGGATATTGTTTCGAGATGTGTTTGGATAGAATGAATTGATGAAATTAATACCACGAATGAAATGATTCATTTTTTTCCCTCACAGTTTACATATACTATTGACGCATACAATAAGTAATTCAGATATCAGTATTCATAATCAGACAGACATTTTTAGCTAAATCATAATGGGCCTATTCTTATCATCATTGAATAATGAAAATAGAGGAATATTTGCCAAAAATTGTTTAATTCTCTATACTACAAGCAACAAAATCACATTAAAGTCCAACTGAACAGATTATTTCTCTACTGTATATATTTCATTAGATTAACTAAACAGGAAAAAAAAAGAAAAACAACGTACTAGATTATTATTGTACTCTTATAGGCCAATGTGTGTGTTCTCGTTAACTAAACATTTACTAGGTGGGTTTATTTCAATGTTGATTGAGTAAGTTTGGTTGGAAATTCGATGATGAGTTAGAAATGCAGTCACACTTCAAATTTCCATTTACTTGCAAAGTGATATGAATAATAATAAAACTTGTAGCGTGGCGTCGAGTTGGGATTAACTATGAACACCGCTACCAAGAAACACGTGCCAAGTAAATCAGAATGCGAAGATCGAACGTAACCAGATTTATTTCGTTGGCGATCTCGTGGTATTGAACGAATACCGAGATCGTGCCAAGGGATGGTACAAGTGGAAGCAGAAGGCAGGAGTACGTGCGAAAGGTACCAAAAACCGCGGAACAATGATGGAAGGTAATGGAAGCACAAATTGGCTATAATTAGCACAGTTAAACAAAAGCACATTATAATAATAATTGTTTTTATTAAACCAGTCGTGTTCTCGTGATAAATGTGAGTCACTACAGGAGCCCCCAGCTAGAAAGGGTTTACACTTTCGATAAGTAGCGGTTTAAATCGTGGGACTGATCGGCTGACGAGCGATTGTAGGACGGAAGAATTGGCGAAACAGGAAAGCGATCGTTGATCGTCGAGTTGCCAACGAAATTCGTTTTCGGAGAAGGGTACCAGGAGCGATGTGCTGTATTTGTTGCTTGAATTAGCATGCCACACCAGAGTGGTTTGTATCCAGAATCTGAAGATTGCGCT